TGCCGGATACAATAAGCGAATGTCCTACAAAATTTGTTTCATAGCATTTTGCAAAATCCAGGCCGACAAAAACGGGTTTTAATTCGTTTTCGGATTAACAGAGCGATAAATAATCAGTCTTTTTTGCTATAGCTTCTCTCTTTGGAAGAATTTCGCAGAAGTTCACTCATTCATAAAGCTTCCAGCTTCCGGCTTTGTAAATGAGTGATCTTTTGTAAAATTAGAATTTTGAGCAAGAATGCCAGAACCGCCAGGACAATCATAGGACCAGGTCGAACGGGGAAGCGAAAGGGTTGGGAAGGAGAGTGGCGTTTCTGAGGGAAGGTGGTGGAGGGGTGAGGGGAAAACACCCTCCCATCCTGGAACTATGCAAAAACTAGGAAGAGAGTTGTAACACTGCTACTTAGAGTTACTTTAGTTTTATTTATGAAACGATCTGGGCTTCTGCAGCTGTGTGCCTCTGCCGCTAGCGGAGGAGGATGGGTCCGCCCATTCAGATGATAATCGATGTCGGTATCCCATTCCAAAAATGTTACTGGGATGTCTTTACTTTCCCGGAGTGTTAGTGATTGTACTGGATATCTCTAATACGCCATTTGAATAGTAATTTTTATGATAAGCTGTTCTGAGACGAATGTGTGCTACAAGTTCTCATCTTGAAATATGCAGCTGGGAGCAAAGTGGCCCGATGTAGCTGCGCTCGGCGTATGAGTATGTTCGAATAAGATCGCTAATATCGGACACCCACAGTAATTCCCATAACAGCTGCCAGCTACAAGATGAAAAAATATTTTCGGAAGTTTCCCTCTAAAAAATGCAAAAAATTTTTGCCCACCAAAAGTGACCAAAATTCTTTTAAAAAAAAATTCAAACACTTTCACTGTCTTATTGAGCATTAATAAGACAAGAAATGTGAAAAAAAAATGAAAATAAACTCTCTATCTGCTATAATAATGAAAAAAAAAGTAAACGGGGAACGAACCTTTTGCCTAACTCATCTGTGAGAGTCAAGACAAATTCCTCATCACCGGGCCACTGATCACTTTCTGCGTAAGCTTTTGCATGTGTGAAATCAGGAATAAACAGATCAGGACAGTCCGTTCGGGCACGCTGATTCGCATCCTGGTACTGACCTAAATTTACGTAAAAAGTTGACAAACAGCGCTAGGAGGAAGAAGAGTTGGGCTGTCCATGTGGCAAGAATAAGAGACAATATGTGAGCAAAGTGATTTAGTGAATGGTACCCAAGCAGTGTGAAAAAAACTCGAGGGTAACTCAACAGTTCGGCGAAAGGATTTGCCGCACATAAAAACATTGAAATCGCTGTAAAAAATACTCGCACATTTTTTACATGATCGTACAAGATGAATA